TATAAAGAAAACGACATATTGAATATTAAAAAAAATAAGTTTTATTTTAATATTATCTATTTTTATATTATCTTATAAACCAAATTTATCAAAAATTTTAAAAACAATTTTTAATGTACAAAGTATTATACATTTATATACAAGTTCTAAAAATTCTTAAAAACAACTCATAATGCATTAAGTACTACTGCTTTATACATTCAGTCTTAAAATTTATAATTAAAATACCATATAGTACAAGTTACCAATACACATTAGTATCTTTTCTTTTCATGTTCACAAAATATTTTTGACACATTTCACTAATGTCTTCACCCTCTCATACCTTTATGTTATCTCCCCACCCTCCAAGGTAATATTCAAACTGATATTCACCATGAGTTATTAAAATTTCTTCCATTCATCTTCTATTCAATTGCTCTAGAACTTTCGGTCTTGCTCTCGATCTCTTGATTCTTTGCTCTTGATGTAAATCGAACACATTTGTGGAGTCATTTAAATATGTTAGATTTTAAATATATTGGATTTTAAACTGTCATACAATTTTTTTATCGTTAGACTGTAATTGGAACCATAAATCTTATTTATTCAATTGTATTAACATGTATAAACCAAATGTAACTTACATTATCGTTAAATCTTCTCTAATAAAACCAGTTAAATTTCAAAATCGTTAAAATTTACGGCTCAATTGTATTACACGGATACACAAGTGGTATCGATAAAATAGAAATCTATTTAATTTTGTTTAGATAGAACTCGTCACAATGACACATTTATAACGTAAGATATATAACGTAATCTACTTTACTTTGATTAAACGTTGAAGCGTTTGATAGCGATAACCCCTCTAAATTCTGAGTTTATCTGCATCGTCTCTCCCAACGTGGCACCTTTCCTTCATCTATAATTGACTGCTATTTTCTTCCCTCTTTTCACTTTTTACTTGATTCACAATGACTCCCAAAGCTTCCGACTTCCCTTCTGAAGATTCCGACTATCAATCCGGCTTCGGAAACCACTTCTCATCGGAGGCCATAGCCGGAGCTCTCCCTCACCGTCAAAATAGTCCACTTGTTTGTCCCCTTGGTCTCTATGCTGAACAGATCTCCGGCACCTCCTTCACCGCGCCTCGCAAGCTCAATCACCGAAGGTCCAAAACACACTCATACTCTACGCCATCATTTTATTTTTGTATATGTAATTTCTTACTAAAATTCGAAGACGTTTACGCAAATTACGCATCGGTTTTTTTTCCTTCAACTTCTACTGTTTTCTTGTTCTTTTGAAGTTAATGTTAATAATAATAGATACTGATGTAGTTAATGGTTGAACATGAAGTTGCCATTTCATCGTTTGCAATGTTTAGGTACTGCATATGCAGATTAGAGTGGGGAAACTCTTTGTTCCGTAATTGCTTTGTTGCTCAGGAAATCTAATCTGGAGAGGCGATCAACGATGTTAGTCGATAGAATAATTTGATTCATTAGGTTTGATAACTGTAGTTCATTGATAATTTATGTTTGAACAGTCTCATTAAATGCTATTTGTTTGAATTCTGTTTCGATTTAAGTTGTATCATGCTGCGTTACAGGTATACCTTTTACAAATTGATCGATTCTCGTTTTGCATCGGATTCATATACAATTATACACATCAATTGCGGCTATTTTTTACATCTGGCTGTAATTTGCTTCATTTAAGTTTTAGTACCATAAGGTTTTGATTTGTGATTTGAGTAACTGACAGCTTAAGTAGTTCATATTTCGATTATTAAGTTGTGTCTATGTTTTTTTTTTCTGTTTGCAACAGTTGGCTGTATAGGATCAAGCCTTCTGTTACTCACGAACCATTTAAACCAAAAGTGCCCAAACATGACAAGCTGGTGAGTGAATTCAGCCAGGTCAACAGTTCTATTAACCCCACTCAAATTCGATGGAAACCTGTTGATATTCCAGACGAACCAACAGACTTTGTTGATGGGCTATACTCTGTATGTGGGGCTGGCAGTTCATTCCTTCGACATGGTTTTGCCATTCACATGTAATATATTCTTGAATCTTACTCTACTGTTCTAATAGTGTTATGTTTACTGTAATATGATTAGTGAAAGGAACTATATGATGGGGCAACGTCTATGTCTTGTTGATAGGACTTCCATGTTCAAAATTCTAGAATATAACATTTCACTAGAAGTTGTACACTGTAAATTCATCTTGCCAATATAATTGGTCAGTTGAAAATTTGCAAATGCACATTGAGTACGCTCTTCTGGAGAATGTATATTAGAGTAAAACCTTTTGCAAAATCAAGATAAAGAAAGGCTTTATGCAAAACCAATCACGAAAAGTTGTATAGAACAGAAATTTTGTGACAACTTGTTCTTTGCACCAGCATCAACTTGGGGTAGTGTGAATGTTTGTGGGGTGAAGACATGTGTAGCTCTTTGGGGAAAATTAAAAGATCCCCCCCCCTGCGGGCGGCATGCACGGGGGCTTATTGAAGCTTGAGCTGAAGCAGAATTACGTTAAGAATGTCCTTCATGATCATGTAGGTACACTGCAAACAAATCAATGGAGAATTGCGCTTTCTGCAATGCGGATGGCGACTTCTTGATAGTTCCTCAAAAAGGAAGTAAGTGGTAACTGAGCTTAATTATAAATTTGTGGTTATCCTCTCGTCAGACCTCCAAAAGCTTTCAGCATTGAACTTTTGACTATATTTTTCAGCTTTATTGTTATCAGAAACAAAGCCTTGGGCTGTTTAATGGATTTCTGAAAGGTGGTATGTTTGTGTTAAATACATTTCACAAATCCTTGGGCTGTTTAATGGATTTCTGATCCGTTGCTGTGTTTTCAATAATCTTTCTTCCCTTCATGACGCTTATAGGAATTATCAACAATTTTTTTGTAAAATATTCATAACCTGGGTCTGTAATGATGGCAGGCGTATTATGATATCAGAGACACATTTTTATTCCTTACATTGTCTGTGCAGGGCTGTGGATCACTACTGAGTGTGGAAAATCACAAGTGTCTCCTGGTGAAGTAGTCGTCCTCCCTCAAGGATTCCGCTTTGCCATAGACCTTCCTGATGGCCCTTCACGTGGTTATGTTGCTGAGGTTTTTGGTACTCATTTCCAACTGCCTGATCTTGGGCCGATAGGTACCTACTAATCATTTGTGGTTTGTTTATTTCTATTTATATATCTGGGATGATGCTAATATTTTTGTGCCCTTATATTATAAGTATTTAACTGAGCTATTCATGTGGTTTTTTAAATTTGTCTTCCTTTCAGGTGCAAATGGTCTTGCTTCTCCAAGGGACTTTCTTGTTCCCAAAGCTTCATTCGAACAGGAATCTCGTCCAGGTTACACAATCATACAGAAGTTTGGTGGCGAACTTTTTACCGCAAAACAAGATTTCTCACCTTTCAATGTGGTTGCCTGGCACGGCAACTATGTCCCCTACAAGGTACAAATTTATTCTTTAGGAGCTTCTTATAGAGAAGTGATGCATTCTAGAAAACCCTTGGCAGGTACATCAACCATCCAAGTAATAAAGTGAATAGGTCGATTAACATCTCATGAGCATTGCAGTGTAATCTTAAGGACCATAGTATAATACCATTCAAGTAATTTGATCAAGCTCAATGTTAATTGAGAAATAGTTTTTAGACAAGGGAATTAAGTAATTAATAGATTAAGCTGAAACTACTGAATTTAAGTGTAGATAAATAAAGTAATGTATAGTTGGATGCAAATTTATACTTGTTTTGATTTCCCTGTAGCTTGATTATTTATGAGAACTGATGAGCAACTTAATACGATATCGATTACTTGTTCATACAGTTCCCTTTTATTCAACTTTTCTACTATTTAGGTATAATTGCCTGTGTTGAAGCTCCTTAGGTCTCACATATCCTTAAACCTAGTGATCAACGCTTAGCAATTGGGATTAATTACTCAACGGTTTCATATAATTGTAAGCTTATGATTCAGAAATGAAAACAAGGGTTCACAACATTTTGAGAGTGCTGGAACTTGCCCAGGCTCACACCAAAATCAGGTTACAAATCAGATGCTCCTCTCAACCTCCAACTATTTAACAGACTTCTCACTGCTATTTCCCCCTTTTACCCCTATGCAACAGATTACTCACAATACCTATATTGCCCCTGCACATCTTAACTCCTGCTAGTGCATCTTTATTTAGAAACTACTACCATAACTACCCTATACTCCTACCATTCTTATCTAATAGCAGCTTCCAGGGTATAATGCCTAGGTAAACTTTTTAAGATAATTTGATGTAAGATGTTTTTAAGCTTAATGGAACACATAAAAAGGTAAGCGTCCTCACTGCTTTATCATAGACCGACCGCATAAAGCTCCCAAGCTGTTCTTCATCTAAGCAGTCTTATCTGATTTATGGCAAGTCATTGGACATATATACGTATTATTAATTTGAAAACATCATGAAACAAAACCCATCAAAGGTCCTCGAAATCAGGTTGACCTACACATATTAACTTACAAATCAAAGATAGAAACACATAAATAACATTTTATATAATTATTAGAGTGTAGGTCAAACAACACACAATAAAAGATGTAACCCCCATCTTCCTCTAATTCTATAAATATTTACTCCACCAAGATATAAGTTCAGAAAAATGTCACCATATTGAATCATAGTCTATAAAAAATAAAACTCAGCTCAAATTGATAACACCTCCTCATGTCAAGTATTCAATTGGTTCGACTTGTTGCTAGTTTGTATAGAATGCATCAATAAGTGAACTTTGTCGAAATATTTCTCTGTCAAAACTGCATTAGTATTTCCTATTTTGATGTGACGGTGACATATTCATTGCTTGCAGTATGATCTAAGCAAGTTCTGCCCTTACAATACAGTTTTGGTTGACCACAGTGATCCATCAATAAATACTGGTGGGTATAATCTTCAGTTGTATTTTTATAAAAATAAGTAAAATAGCGACAATTTTTGTTCATTTAAACTGTCTCAGCGTTAGTCCTTTTGCAATCCCAATGCAGTTCTGACTGCACCAACTGATAAACCTGGCGTTGCTTTGCTTGATTTCGTCATATTCCCTCCACGGTGGTTGGTGGCTGAACATACTTTTAGACCCCCTTACTACCACCGCAATTGCATGAGCGAATTTATGGGTCTTATTCATGGAGGATATGAGGTAGTGTTCCATAAACTCATGACTTACGTTATTTTTGTTTCGTGCCCCATTTATTGCGAAAGAAAATGACCTCCCCTTTCGGCTTTTAGAAATCAACTACAATCAAAATTTGTCTTATGAGTTGTCCGTGGAACGAACAGAACAAAAGTTTGGAAGAAAAGGGGAGGCTTTTGTTTATCTTTACAGCTGTACATAGAACACGATAGTAACTACAGAAATGGCATTTTCAGGCAAAAGCTGATGGATTTCTCCCTGGTGGTGCAAGCCTTCACAGTTGCATGACTCCTCATGGTCCTGACACGAAGACATACGAGGTAAAGCTCCTCCATTCTCGAGTTATGTTCTTCGTCATAAAAATACTGGTTGGTTGCATAAAGTGGTTGATTAAATACCCACACTCTTACACTTATGTATTTTCGTCAAATTTAATATAATCAACTAAAATTAATGGTTAATTTTGGACAACAAGATGGAAGGACAATTTGATGGAAAAAAAATACTGAAAATCCCAAACCATTTCTAATGATATATATGTTAAAGCATTTCAAATATAATCAAACAAAAATGGTGCAATTGACATGATTACAAAGCATGTAAGTACGTGATTTCTAAATCTTCTCAAAATACGGTTCTCATATAAACATGCCCCTTGGGTACTAATAGTTTCTTCTTTTAAATGCCCTCAAATTGCTTATCGACCTACCTCCCATGGCTACAGGCGACAATTGCCCGTGGCAATGATGCTGGACCACATAGAATAACAGACACCATGGCGTTCATGTTCGAGTCATGCCTAATGCCACGAATCTGCCCGTGGGCTCTTGAGTCTCCGTCTGTGGATCATGATTATTACCAGTGCTGGATTGGACTGAAATCACATTTCATCAACAACCCAAATGGGAATTCGGAAACTGAACCATAGAGTTGTTTATCCATCCGAGTTTACATGATCATATAAACCGGGAATAATGTTTTCCCAAATGAAGTAGATTTACCGGTAAATATCTTCTGCTTGTAGATGAAGCTTGTGTACATAGTCATGAAGGGATAAAGTATAGCAGTTAAATTTCATAAATATTTTGAGAATCGAGAAATGTATTCATGATGAATGTAGGTGAATATTCATTATGAATATTTGGTTCTCAAAATATTTGAGGTTCTTAAATGAACCTGTCCTTGGTAGATAAATAACGATGAAGTAGACATAAATAAAACGTCTAAACTTAAATGTGCCTACTTTATTCTAGTTGATGGTGCGAGAAGTAGGGGTGATAATTTTGTATGAAATCAAACCAACCAACATGTGTACCAACAGTACCAATTAAATTGGTATCGATCATTGTCGGTTGGTAATACTGTATCAAGTATGCAAACTTGATTGGTACACGGTATTAAAAGTTGCATACCACGATATTACCATGGTACCGAGTTATTTATTTCTTATTTGTTTTGTGCATTTTTATGTATTTGATATAAACGTTGCAACTTTAATTATTTTATTTAAACATTTGAATATTTGCAAGTTTTATTCATTGCAATTAAAACCCGTTAAACAATCACTTGTGTTACCTGGAAACTCAAAATTTCACTTAAATTTTGAATAAAATTGACAAGTTTTCATATGTAACGTGAAGTTGGTATAAAACTGGTACTAACATGTACCAACAGAAAAAAGTTGGTACCAATTAAGTCAGCATCAAGTCAAGTTGGTTGGTATACGGTGTAGGATTTTGCATATCAATTATAATTGGTTGGTACATTGTATTGAATTTTTTTTTGGGTACCGTACCAAATCCACCCTTAATAAGAAGTGTGAATGCATCAGCCAAAAGACGATCTAAGTAACAAGGATCATTCCTATTACGAATCCTGGTTATAAGCCCAACCAAAAACCGGTCTTGGACAAGTCCCAAATCGGTCCAAGTCTGAGATTTTTCTTTTGTAACCGTATCCGACTAAAAACACCCAACCTGTTTTTCATGTACAAAGTTTGTCCCAGTCTCCGGCTAGACCCAAATTGGTTCCATTTTTTCCCCCAAAAATCAACTTTTAACATATAAAAAGAATCTTATTTTTAGTCAATATTTTATTGAAATATATTTTAAAATCTTTAATTGGATCATTCAAATACACTTTAAATATTTTTTAAATCATTTTTATACGTGTTTTTATAGTTATGATTTTTGAAATTTAGTATTGGAACACTTTAAAAAACTTGATATATAATTTATTAAAATTTAAGTTTTTTATAAAAATTGAACCTATATATAACCAGTCCCGATTCCGTAACCAGTCTCAAGCCATGCTTGATTTTCTTAAAACAACATAACTAATCCTAACCCTTCAATCCATAACCAATCCCGGCCTTGAACAAGTTCCAAACCAAGCTGGGCCCATTTTGACCATCTCTAATTGCGATTGGTTTAGGTCTAGTTAGGATCGATGACTGGTTAAAGCGATGACTGGTTAAAGCCCGCGATTTTGAACCCGACTCTTGAGTTGGGTCACATGCGATAATTGCGGTGTTTATTCTTCAAGAGTCAAGACAAGGGGGGATTTTGTTTGCCTCTCTTCACATGCTATAATGCTTCTCTTGTTTGCCAATTGCTAATGCCATTGAGTGATTCATTTTTCACATGGGTTTTTGTTGTCAACAAACTATCATTTTTTTAGTTATAAATAAAAATACTGATAAAAAAAGGACGAGACATTTGACAAATCTCGTTCTGTTCATTTATGTTGGTCCCGTCTTTATTGTCTTAGAGTCTGTTTGTTAGCAACTTAATGAGTTTAATAAGACTTACATCTTATTCAATCAGCTATACAACACTGTCTGATAGTGGCTTAATAATGAAAATGTCTTATTCAATAATTCTTAGGGTTTCTTTTTGTGTGTGTAAAAAACAAGGTTTTTGTCTTCCAAAAACTGCATTCCTAATTAAAAAAAACACAGTCTTTCTATCTATGACAAAATGATTTCATTTTATAGCCATATTCTAACCCACTTTCAACTTTATAACCAATCATTACAGATAAAGTTTAAGCTTATGTGCCATATTGGTTTTCGGAAAAAAAAGGACCCTTATGCAGAAAGTGGATTTTCTACGTAAGGATCCTTTTTTTGCCCAACGATCCTCTTTTTTATACCGAAAACCAATCATATGCATAAAGATTAGCTATAAAGTGAAAACGGGTCTGAAAACGACTATAAAGTGAATTGATTTTTAGCAAATTGATTATTTTTTTTGTCAATTTCCCGTTATTAAAGGGCATTGGCCTGGTGTACTGTGGACTGTCAAACCAACCTTATTAGAGGTCAAAAATTCAATCCTCATAAAATATGAGAATTAAATGTTGGTTTTTATTTATTGTATATAAATATATTATATATTTAAATAAAATTAAAACTTCATTTTAAAATAATAAAATAATTGAGAAAACAAAATAAATAAATAAATAGAAAATAGAAAAAACAAGAAAAGGACATAAACCAATTAAAAAGCTACAATTTGACCTATATCCTCTCCATGTGGGTTCATTGTTGGGGGGCCATTGTACACAGTTCACATGTGGAGTGGTATAATTTTCATTTTCAGTCCTTCAAGATTTTTTTTTGTTCAATTCAAGTCTCACCATTTAATATGAACATTTTCAATTAGTTTTTTAATTTTTTAAAGTGGAAAATGAAAAAGTAAAATCTTTGAAATATTTAATTCTAATTTTTTTTTTAAATTTTATTTTAAAGATTGCGACATTAATTATATAATAAAAGTGATTTATATGTTTGATGAGATGTTATTAATCTATACTATATTATAAATTATTTGATAAAAACTCTTAAAAATCATTTTTATGCATAAAGTACTGTATATTGATGCATATTATTTAAACTTTAAGATTACAAGTAAAATTATGCATAAAAACAACTTATTAAAGCTCGATGTTTGAATTCGTATAACTAACTGCGGATGAACATAATCAAATAAAGTATAAACATCTCATTTTAAAATATAAAAAAACTAAAATATAATTAGGATAATTATGGAGTTCTAACAAAATAATTAATTATTATCTTTATAAAAAAATTATATTATTAAACAAAATATAAATTACTTCGTTATTGTACCTAAGTTAAATTATAATAAAAAAATTGAATTAAAAAATTACACAAAAAATGAGAAATTTTAAATAGTTAATTTGATACDAATATCGATATATTTTTGTCAAATTTTTATGATATCTTCAAATTTATATTTTATTCAAAAATAAAAACATGTTCGCTTTTTCAAAATCACATAAGACCATATTATAACATCGACTGAGATAAAAAATTAAATTAAATATTAAAATCAAGATGTATCTCGCTGCATTGCGTGAGTACTCTTCTAGTATTTTATAAACATTTAAAAACAAGATTTCTTATTAATGAAATTATTATAAAAAATTGTTTTTCTCTCAACTGGTTTTTTAAAATAATTTTGGAGATTAAAATATAAATTATATTTATTAAAATATTTAATATATTTATACATTTAATTTCAAAGATAATTTCAAATTTGGAGAATTTTATACTATCTATGATGTTTTCTCAATTGTGCAAAATCTGTTAAAACAAAAATTCATACAAAGGGGTTGTTTACTAAACGCTTACCCGGTAGATGTTTATCGGACAATTTTCCTCACCAGACGAGCATGCCAAGGCCCAAGAATCTTACCTGGTAAGAACGATGATAAGAATAGAGAGTCTTACCCGGTAAGTGAGGCTGACGACTCTTACCCGAGTAAGCGCTTACCAGATATATTGTTGCATACGATACCATTTTGATATACTACAATCTTACCCAAAAAACAAATTATAGTGTTGACTTCTAACGGTAAGCACTTACCGGCTAAACATTTAGGTAAACAACCCCATAATCTCCATTTTAGAAAATATGTTGGAGATGTTAAATAATCTTTGATCAAGTCAAATAAGTTGTTATATTCTTTACCTGTTTTCTTCCATGTTTCTCATATCAAATTTCGACATGTGTAATGTATGAAAAAAATTTGTACATGTAAAGGGTGCAAATATAACAGTAAACGGTAGTCCGAGAGAATAAAAAATCGACGCTTTATATCGGAACGGCAGAGGAAATAAGACAGGGGTAACCTCTTCTTACTAATTTCACACTCTGCACACAACAATATTAACGTTTTTACATCTCAAACGCTATGATTTTATCAAAATAAGACTCAAATCACGTGACCCTTTTTACAGGACGTTGCTAAACAAACCTTTTTTTTTAGAATCAGTTCAATACTGAAAAATGTAAAACAATAATTTCATTTTGAAGAATATATCCAGAAAATCTGTAAAAATATATTTATATACCGTATAGAAAAGATTTGTTTATACTGATTACGTTTGGTTGAGGTCAGTTCAAATAATAAGATTAAATATCATGAGAAAGTAAAAAATAGACTATTAAAAAAAGTTTTTGTGAATTATTGAATAAAACCGTTATAACATTTATATGTGGATCAATCTTACAGATTATTTAAATGAATTTATATATACATCTTTAAACTGATTTTTCAATGGTTCATATATAAATCTTTCTTAGAGCATCTTCAAAATTGAGATTTTTGGGTTTTTGCTCCAAACAGATTCGACAAAACCTTCGAAAATAGAAGTAGGATTTACAAGTCTTAAAGCATAAAGTACTATTAATTTATGCAAGAGATTCAAAAATCTCTTAAGTACAAACTATTATGCATAAAACATACCATTTATTTGGTCAAAGTTTCATATTTAAGTAAGTCATATTTACATGAAAAAGATATGTTTGGTCTTTTCAAAGTTGTTTGACACTTTGTGTTTTCCATATTTTAAACCCAAATTCAAATTCAGAGTTCTTTATATTAAACTGAAATTTGAATCAACAATATCAAAAAAGGTTCAGATCCTCCATGTATCTCACCCCAACCCTTCAACTTTATATGAGTTTAGAAACTCAACATGTGTGTAATTATTTTTCTAATCGATTTTGTTAATATATCATATTAATCTTCAATTTTATATATTAATTGACTTGTAAAATAAGCACACAAACTCATGATTCAAGTCTAAACAGATGAAAATTGAATTTTTTTTAATAATTATTTTAAAAATTAAAAAGAAATGATTATTTGTATTAATTTAGACGGGTGTAAAGGAAGAAAGAAAGAGACGTGTGTCACATGAGCACGTGGTGAGTGGTGTTCAGATTCTCTCTCTCTCTCTCTGTGTTAGTTATCCCATTAAACTACCACGGCTTTTCCCGGTGAAACCGTTCCTACCCCTACCTAGCTAGCTGTTGCTAGCTGTCCCAATCCTTTCCTCCATGTGACCCACCACCACCACCGTCACCGTCACCCTCACCACCACCTCCTCCTCCCTCTATTTACATTCACTCCAGAACCTCCATCCATTCGTTCCTCTTAATTTCAAACAAAAGCAACGTTTTTGTTGATTTTTTTAATTTCATTTTGTATGGCACAATTGCCACCAAAAGCGCCAATAATGGCGCAAAAATGGCCGTCATTTGCCTATCAGACCATGCCGATGCCGTCGTCAGCCTCGCAGCCACCGACCTGGATGGATGATTTTATAGATTTCTCGTCAGCTAGGAGGAACTCTCACCGGAGATCCACAAGCGATCCGATTGCGTTTATTGAAGCTCCTCCGTTTATTAATGAATGTCGTAATTCTCATGTCATTGATAAGTCGTTGATGCCTTGCTCTAATAATAATGGATTTGAGCGTTTGGATGATGAGCAGCTTAGTTCTATGTTTTCCGACGACTTCACGGCGAATCTCCAGTCAACTAGGTTATTGTCTATGACATCTGATCAAAACAGCGATGATGACGAAGCTAAACCAACGCAGCCACCGGAGCAACAACCGCAGCAGCTAAAACATGAGCTGGGAGAGGTGGAAGACGGTGGCGATTACGAACAGGAGACCGAATCCGTCAAGCCTCACATTACTTTTTCCAGCGATGGCGGCACCGTCGTTGATCCAAAAAGAGTTAAAAGGTAAGCATGAAGATCTGAATTCTACTCACATGTACATCGTGCTTAAACAGCAAGCTAATCGAACCGCATATTCAACATCAACATTCAGAGTAAATTTTACTCATTCATTCATATGTGATTAACTAATTACATATGATGTTAATCATAGTTTTTAATTGTAATCGATCACCAGGATATTAGCAAATCGTCAATCTGCCCAGAGATCAAGAGTCAGGAAGTTGCATTACATTTCTGAACTCGAACGAAGTGTTACAAATCTGCAGGTATCGTCTCGATCCAAATACATTATCTCAAACATAATTTTGGTTCAATCGATATTGATTGCGGATTGAATTTCATACATAAATAATCGTCAATAATTTCCTTTGGATCAATTTATCAATATTCAATTATGGTTCATCTGAAGACGGAGGTATCGACACTATCGCCACGTGTAGCATTTTTGGATCATCAGCGATTGATTTTAAACGTAGATAACAGCTCGCTTAAGCAACGGATCGCGGCTTTGGCCCAGGACAAGATCTTCAAAGATGGTATGAACATTTTATCTGATTGTTGGCTTATTCGATCAACTATACGTGATTGTTTAGGAGTTGCTTAATGATATAGAAGATGACTTATAAAAAGTTTTATTTTTCAAACCTACCCCTCCCTCCGAATTAAAAATCTAATATGCTCATTCCATCTATATGAGAAAATCATCCTAAAACCCCCCTCCTAAAATCAATACATACATATCAATCTACCTATACAGTTTTATTTATACACAGTTTTATTTTTTTATTTATACAAGGCTTGGTGTTTTTTGTTAGCAGTTTAATAAAACTAACAACTTATTCGGTCGACTATCCATGACTGTTTAGTAATAGTTTGATAATATAGAAAATGACTTATCCAATAAGCTTTTAGAAGAAACTTTACATATAAAGCCAAGTTTTTTTTTCCAAACGTATATATCTCAACATATACAGATAGATTAATCAATATATACAATTTTATACATACAAAATTTAATAAGAAACCATAACAAAATCACGTTAAAGAAAAACCAACCAAATAGCTCTTATTTATAATAGTTGATATATTATTTTAAATTGCAGCTCATCAAGAAGCATTGAAAAAAGAGATTGAGAGATTAAGAAGAGTTTATCATGAACAGAACATGAAGAAGGCGGAGACCACCACCGCAACAACCACCGGTTCACCGGCATGAATGGCGTCTCCGCCGCCGCCACCGGCAGCAACTGTTATGGTACGGATGAAGAGTGAGTGATCGATCTCGGATCTGGGAACGAGAAGGATGAACAAATGGGAGTGTGTGGGGAAGGGATGCTGCTAAAGTGCGCCCATGCAGGCACGTGATGTGTTTCAAGACTTTTGGGTGGTGGTCCCATGATTGGCATGTGATTATTTTAATATAGCATGGCTTCTTTTATGCTATTGTTGGAGAGGGAAGAAAGGGTAATTATGTCTTTTTCTATGGGTTTTTAAATTTATTTATGTAGATTCTTTTTCTTAACGAATAGGGGTCTGTGGGGTATTGGATGTCTGGTGTAGACTGTAGAGCATGTTCTGATTGTCTTTTTCTTTTCTTTTTTTTTTTTTTTAAATTTTAATGTCTTTATATTTGATTATTTTTTTAATTACTATTTTAGCCTCATTGAGACCAAGGGGAATTGTACAAGTAGTTCAATTGTAGTTTTTGAGTTAATGTTTTTATTCAATAAATTATTGAATATATATTAATAAGTTAAGAATAATAAAAGTTTATGATTTTTTTGTATACAAATCTTATTTGCTATTATTGGTGAAGAAATTATAGGATGAGGATATTTTTTTTATTTAATGCTGTTTGCTTATCTCTTAATAGTTTCATTAAGAGATAATATCTGAATTGTTAAGATGTGAATCTTGTTTGGTAAAAAAAAATATGTTTCTTAATGATTTTAAAACCCTCTAAATGATTTTGTATCATGAGTCTTTCTTGACCATTCAACGTCTTAATTTTGTTATAAATAATTATCAAATAATTATATTTTATTTTGCATTATATCATGAAAGTCTCTTAATCATTTTGACCGCTTAATCATTTTGCATCAAACCATCAATAATTGCTAAACAGCCCCTTAATTGGATTTGAATTGAGTGTGTGTTTTTGAATTTTAAGTATAATGATGTAAAACAAATGATGATAGGTTGAAAATGGATATAAATAGAGGTTAAAATGACTAACAAGGAGTAAAAATACAAAAATACCTTTAATTTTTTTGACTCAGGAAGCACATTAAGTTATGTAAATGAAAATTGTTAGGCTATGTTTGGAAATGTGTAATAAGTTGGTTGTTACTTGATAAACTAGTTGATAAACAAATAATGTTTGATAAAAATCAGTTGGTAAACATATGAAATGACCAAAAAAGATATACTGAAAAATTAGTCAGGTACAACATTTTATAATATAACTGAACAAATTCCTAATAATATAAATGTTAATTAATATAAACAATATAGAAAAAAATTTAAAATACAATATGTTAATTAAAAGAATTACAAATTGATTAAATAATCATTACATATAATATGAATAAAAATAAAATTGGTCGACCTTACATATTTTAATTAACTAAATATTTGTTCAAAAAGTATAATTGATAATTAAATTAAGTATTTATTCGAATCATCTAACAGAGTTTTATTATTTATGAAACAAAATTGATTATTTTAATATAGCATGGCTTCTTTTATGCT